GCATATGTATCATATTCGCAGGGTTGGGTAGTGCTAAGTTAAAAAGATAAAAGTTAAATTAAAAAGTAAAAAAGTTAATTAATTTTAACTTAACTTAGTTACATTTTATCGTAATTATTAACTTCTATTCTGATTTTTTTTAAGTCAATCCTTAAAAACTAATATAATTTAGTAATTTTATATTGTATAATCGTTACTTATAAACAAAAATAATCAGAAAGAATAACCTTTCTTTAATAAATAAACTGTGAGAAATGAAAAATATGAAAAATTATGTAAAATATTCAAACCTTTTCTTTTTTTTTTTTTTGATTGTTCGTTCGAACCAAATTTAACTTTTAACTTTTTAATTACTTTTTTATTAACTTTTTAATTACTTTTTTATTAACTTAACTTTTAATTCAATTAATTTTATTATGGATTAACTTGTACTTTAATTAAGTTAAATTTTTAAGGCTGTTAACTTTAACTTAGTTTAAAAAAAAATTAACTTACCTGCATATTTGTAATCATTTGAGCGCCTTATTGTTTTTCCAGACATTAACTTAATCTTATAAACGCAATTAAACTGTAATAATATCACAAATTAAATTAAATTGATAAATAATTTTTAATAATTCGATGCTCAAATTAGATGTTATATTAGAAAGATATTAATTTACTGAAAAATTGTAAATTTTGCGAAAAATATTATCGGGGATTGAACCCGAATCTCTTGTATTTTGTACGAGCGTCCTAAGTCTTTAGACTACAGAGACCTCGGTAATCCAACTTTGTTGGATCATCAAAATAAATATATAGAATGCTCAAATGATTGTTGAAATGTCAAAACTTTTTACAGCATTGCTTATCATGCTAAAGATTTCTACAAAATTATTTTAATGGTCCAGTAAAATTATTTTCAGATCTGTATCTAATCAAATTTTTAGATTCTTCAGCAAAACTGCTCTTTCAGCATAACTCTATTAGTCAATGCATAACTCAAGAGATTGCCGCCAAAGCAAAGATTTTTTTATTTGTAATAAAAAACTGCATGTGTGATTGTAACAATATTCTCAATCAATACCGACGCAATACATATATAACCATGATAGCTACTTTTCTCTCAATGAGGACAAACCAAGCAAGATCAAAACATGGAGGAAATGACGCGCGCGTTTAAAATTCGCACCCGTCCGCGGAATTCCTCATCATCGGCGAAAATAGAGTGGCCGCCGGCCAGCGGGATTTGAGCACAAAGTAAAACGATGGCTTTTAAGCCATCACATGTGCGCATCGCAGTTCCATTACCGCGTGATATCGACGCGGATCCTCTCCGTGCTCTGTCGTCGTCTTTCAGATGCGCAGCGATAAATTCCTCCGCGGATTCCGTCACTCGCGCTTCGCAACTTCGTTATTCTAAGGGCGAGGGGAGGGGAGGGAAGGGGGGGGGAGGCGGTATGACGAAATGTAAATATTGACTTATTATTGATGTTATTTTCATCGTTGTTATTTTTAATATTTTTTAATTATTTTTATTTCTTTATTGTTTTATATTTATATTTACTATTATTATTATTACTACTATTACTATTAAGTTTGGAGAAAAAGTTCTGTGGAATTTTGTTAGCTCAAAATTATACACAAAATATATTTGTTGCGAAATTTTCGATTATCTGACGTGACTAAGTTACACGCAGATTAAATAAAAGAGCATTCTGATTTTATAATAACTGCTCATAACTCCGTTGAAAATTATTATACCGTAATTAATAAAACAGATTCTTAAAGCTAAAACGTTGCTCTATCAAGTAGTGTAATTGCCAATTTAAAAAAAAATAGAATATACGTACATTTGAACTAAAAAATGTGATATTACTTTTCTTTTTTCCATTGCACAATGGAAAAAATTTATATACATTGTATATAAGGATAGTAATATCACATTTTTCAAATTTCTATATAATTTAAAAAATTAATATGAAACTATTCAATAGAGCAACGTTTCAGCTTTAATCTGTTTTTTAAATTGCAGTACGATGATTTTTAATGAAATCATGAGCAATCAAAGTCAGAATTTTTATTTAATTGGCGAATAATTCAAGAACAAAAAATTGTAGAAGCATTTTTTTAAAATGATTTTGTAAGGAAAACTCCGAACTTTCACGATATAGTCGAAAATTTTCACAATTTTTTTTGGTGACAGACCCACAAAATGAGAAGAAAAATTTCCCTTTTTTTTCAGCTCATAGTTTTCTATATATAAAAATGATAAAACTCAAATAAAAAAACTCACATAAATTCAAAAAATATAGTAACCATTTGAAAGTACAGATTTCAAGCTTTAAAGCCCCTTTTTTAAATTTAAATTTTGAGCATTTTTAACGAAGATATTTTATATATAATTTTGAGCTAACAAAAAATATATACGCAGAACTCAACTTTCCTCCAACTCAATATCATAATCATAAAATATGAATTATACATGTCTAGTATTCAACATTTTATTAGCCAGACATATTTTTATATATACATTAACATAATATAAAAAATGTTATTTAAAAATAAATTTTTTGTTATATATAATAAATTCTAACTTTCTGTTTGGTGAACTCTGGGGGGGGGGGGGGGGGGCCCCCC